TTTCTACACATGTATTTAGTGTGCGCGCGCTCATCGTGATGATTTTTTCCAATGTTTTGATAAGCAAAATATTATAAAAACGTCTTTAATCTATAGCTCTATAACGAAGTCGGGCACCCCCTTTATTTCGTTTTTGATGGTACTCGGTAGTACCTAACTTAAGAGAAAAATGTTTTAATCTGATGGGATCAAATCGAAATTAGAGTAGAATTTCACGCAACGCGAAGGCTTCAAGTCCACACTTATAACACAATAACATTTTATATTTCTTATTTTCAGTGGCGGATCCAGGGGGGTTCGAAGGGTTCCACGGAACCCCCCTTGAAGGTTTGATCTTTTAGGTAATAGAAATATGTCTTATATAAATTTTGCTTAAAAGTATCCACAAGGATAATGTTGAACACGAAATGATATTTGCTGTTATAATGTTTAATTAACCTTTCATTTCCGTTACTAGATAGTAAATTAGGTGATTAGAGCCAATTTTTTTGTCAGACATCGACTAAACAAAAGATAATTATRCACAGTTTAAGAAACGGAACCCCCTTTGAAAAATCCTGGATCCGCCACTGATTTTCAACACAAATTTCAAATGCTACCTAGTTATTTGGTTATTTTTTAGTCTTCTGTGAAAAATGCGGACGACCAATTTAAAACATGACTTATTTTTGACAGCTTTCCAAGCTTACGTTGTTCGCGTGTTTTTTACCGAAAAAAGGGTGAACTTCCACGTATTCGGACGACTAAACGAAGTCGAGGACCCCCATCTTTTAAGTTGCTTATTTTACTTCTTGTATGATGTTCTTTCATCGATCTTAGGCCGTCTCCAAACCCTTCCTAACCTGCAGTCAAACAGGGGACATAAAAGAACCTGTTGAATTATTCGTGTAAGAATAGGGGATTGTCTCCCGGTTCAACAGCCTATCCCAATTAGGAGGCATAATACTAATGTACAAACAAATCACTCATGATTGTCAGCTGCACGGCTGCTAATAGCGCCTTAATATGCAGCCCGTAAAGTCCTCCACTGTTCATTAATGTAAAGCACATTGAGATGATGGTGAAATGCGCTATATATATATATATATATGAAGAGATGTTTCTCTTTCATTATTAGAAAAGCATGTTTCAGTAGAACGCTCTAGAATTTTTTTCTTTTTTTCTAGGGGCACATATATGCTGTTCCAAGTTAAAGTATATGTTCGTTTGTTAACGGTGAACTACTATCAGCAATTAAAAGATCGATCGTATATGTTAAAGATTATTCTCCTCTGGAAGCTCATGCTACACTTTCGTCAGAAGACAAAAAACGATTATAATTCAATTTTTTTTTTTTTCTTTTTTGTCGTTTTGATTAGCCTGAAATTGGTAACTGCAAATAACTGCTTACAATATTCTTCTCTTGTGCATCATAAGCCGTTTTGCTACAAATAACAGTCTGCTCATGCGCAGTAACGTCGCATTTGTCAACATAGCTCGCTTACCTCAGCTGTCAGAAAATGGCTCGTTTGATAGGCAGCAAAAACAGGCAAACACACAAAAAAAAGGAAAAATAATATGAATGATAAAACAAATAATAACTTCGGTTATCACAAAATATCGTGATTCGTTAGTGTCTCGCAAGCAATTATTGTGCTCAACATTGATTAATAATTCTATCAAGGAAAATACGTTTATTCGGCATTTGATTGCCATTGCACTATAGTTCAGTATAGGCTGATAACAATAAGTCGCCAAGATGATACCGATTACACTCGTTTTCTAGAACATGCCCAGTATCGTACAGTTACCGTCATTAAAAAAATAGATTGTGATGACGCCAATCGAAAATTTCTGTGCATTCTTAATTATAACCGCACTTAGAATGAAGTCATTAAACCCGTGAAATAGATATTAGACTAATACACTTTAGTAGACCCTAATTCCATTGTTTTCTTTTGTGTCTATTTGACTATTACACGTTGACTAATAATTTTTATTTCACGGGTTAAATGCCTTCACTCTGTCATGCAGAATATACAAGATCAAGCGCACATGCCCCACTAAATGTCATAGAAACGCTTCACTTTTGACGCCCATCAAAACTGACTTTATGATGCCGACAAAACTCTACAATTCGGGATTTGTTATCAAAAACGAGCGTAAAAATGCAACAGACACTACACTCATTATTCCAATATCTATAACACCTATTGACCATGTCAGTCAGTTACGTCAATCTTCAATACACTCCACATATAGCTATACTATAATCCATCCAACCGTAAACCGATCAATCAAATGAATACCGCTCATTTTTACAGTTCCGTTCAGCAGCCACGAATAATACTGAGTTCCAAGTCGAGGTTGGAGTTGCCGCGCATAGCAAAACTATACTTTATGGTGCGCGGCAACAAAAACCTCGACTTTTATTCGTGGTTACTGAACGGAACTGCAAAAAGGAATATTAGGAAACCATAGTTTAAATATAGTATGAAAATTTATAAATGGTAAATGGACATGACTTTACAAGAATACTAAAGCTATTGATCTGGATGAAGGAATCACTTTAGCCTTACCCCTTTTTGTTTCTACGCCCCTACAACGTCTAAACGATCTCAAATCGATTAGATAGAACCCGCTCCGTAGTGGCATGGGTGTAAACTATATGATATGTAGACCAGTTATAATATAAGAAGCTGCAGCAATCCTTACAATGGCCTCGTGATCATTTCTTGTCAAGGAATTGTCGAGCGGTTTCTACTAACCGGGACATGTATTTAGGTCCAGTGGCAATGGATATCAGCGCATCTTGAATCTCTTGTGCGCTACAAGAAATGGTAAGCCATGTTTAGAACTGGTTATTTTACCCCAGAGACTAGAGTGGTGCATAAACCGTAGACTGAGAAAGTGGGAAAATATTTTTTTAAGGAATCTGATGGAAGGCTGCCAAATTTGCAAAATTCATTTCAGGTTGCATAAAAGTCCCCTTCACGGTTACTCCGCCATCTTGAATAAATCAAAACGAGACGAACGGTGAGTTGTTTCTTGTTCTGTTGATTATAATACATCGCAGTATCTACTGTCGTCTTGGTGGATGTCATATCGTGCTTTCTGTCTTCCTTTTCAACATTTCTGTTCAGTTTACTTTAGTTTATAAAATTGTTTCCTCTCGTTTCCATGTAAATTATCATAATTTATTATTTATCATTGATTGGTTGGTTTACTTATGAATTATTAATGAATATGAGAATGAATGTTCTAGGGAAACCATGAATGGGTCTAGTACATGTAAACACCCTTAACTGAGTATTCTGTCTTATAATCACCGACATAACGATACAATAATAACAATACTCACCAGCATTTACCAATCTTGGGTATAACAGTAATCTCGACTTCATCGGGATACTTGCATACATTGATGGTGAGCTGAACGATGAACTTCATGAAAGCTTTCACGCTTGAAAACTCTATGAAAATACTGTTAGAGAAAAAAACAATTTAGTGAATTATTTGAAACTGTTGCGCAGCCTTAGCAAATAAAATTGGAAGTTGTTGAAGATGTAAATCATTCTTCTTCAAGCTATTTCCTTTTATGAATCGAATCTGATACGTCCTGGTTGACGGTCAGCTGCTTTAAGCACTAAGCTACTGAGAGCTCATAGTTATGAGCAAGCGATGAAAATGTCGTGAAAGACGTGAAAGAACTAGTACATGAATAAAAAGGAAAGGGATGTAATAAAGGGAAAAAGTGAAATAAAGTAGCAATGTACTCAAACATAGCCTCGTCAACACAACAGGCTGTTACTCGCTCTTTGGAATGACTTCACGCATATTAGCTCTCAAGCGTCCTCCATTTGAATTTGGGAGAGCTTAGAAAGAGTATAAGTAGGACAAATTGCAAAATACCCCCGATATTTTCGACTTTTTGTTGACATTTAATGCAGTCCCATAGCTCAGGGTCCGGATGGCGGGTCCGGATCCCGAATCACGCGCCATTTTCAACGGAAATCCCGCGTCACACGACATTTTGCCTTTTTTTCACATTCAATATATTCAAAGGCGTTTGAAATTTTATTTTATATATTAATGTTTTCACGTTTTTCCCGACAATCAGAAAGCAAAATCCCACATCCCGGACATCGAATTCGGCAATTCCCGAGTCACGGCCGATACCATTATCCCGAACACGTAAGATTTTTTTCAGTTTCCCGGATCCCGCGCTATATTTTATCTGTTTCCCGGTTCCCGCGAACACCCTTCCAGACCATGATCCATAGCAGGGCGAGAGGCTGATTATTAGTTACTGTGGTTGGGGTGAGAGAGAGAGGTAAGAGTAAAGTAGTAATACATGAATAACTAGCTAGTACCTGTTCTCCCTCATGGTCAGAATGTGTTGGAAGTTCAGTTCAAAGAGTTCATTTCCAAGTGACCGTGCAGCTATAACAAGTCCACTTACATGCTCCAGTACCTAAAACAAGGGGGAATACTTCAGTTACGATAAGTAGATCCTTGTTGATAACATAGATTTGAAATATCACGGACACTACCCCTTGCTTCAAGATCATCAGAATTTTACGCCTAAGAAATTATGTTAGAACAAACCTCTTTTAACAGATACAATATTACGTTACCTTTGGTAGGGAACTTGTATTGGAATTGGAGCTGTGTAAGAGTTCTTCATCCAAACTATTGATAACCAAAGAATGTACGAAGCGAGCAGACAAATGGCTGTCATCTAACAAGAAAAACAGTGTTGTTTCAGTATAGTGCGGCTTACACAAAATAATGTATGGGTATGGTTCCAGGTAGCGTTACATTCTGAATGCCTTACTATATGTACAATGCGCTGCTCAAAACCACCAGTATGAGTAAAGCGGAAAATACGGAGTGCACGCATTCGACCTAAAAAAATTGTCCATGTTGCACCGCAAGGAATATAAAAAGATTGATAGATATCTACTTAAAAAGTAAAACAGCTTTTTACGTGCTCCGCTTACTAGTAAAGCACGGTTCTTGACCAATCAGAGCGCAAGTACGATCTAAGCTATATAATAAAAATGTATTAGACAATTCACCCATATTGCAAGTCTTACCAGCAAGCTGAGAGGATACAGATATGTTTTGAATCTTCTTGGCGACTGGTTGACTGGAACAACTTTGAGCAGTATCTATTAAAAAAAGGCAAAAAATAAATAAAAACATAGTTATAGTTGATATTATTATAGGAAGAACCGTGATATTGTTATACAATACCTGAGTGATGGAAGTCTACTCGCATTTCCAGTGTATCATATAGAAACAAAAACTTGGCGTAGTTCTGGTTCCGCTCTGTGAGCTCCCACTCTAGACACCTAAAGCATTCATAAGATATAAAAAACGAGTAAAATGACATTCAAACAAGGGGTAATTTTTTGATTTCCTTAGATGAGATTTTTGCCTCAGGATTCATTGAAATGTGTTCGAACGCCCCTTCCTGACAAATAGAGCTCTCTTTATAAGAGAGAACGATCAAGGACGAGGGGGGGGCAGGGCTTAGACAGTTCAGTCTTCAACCCTTGGTCCCACCTACCCTGCTTTCAGAGGTCTCCTTCTGCCTTCCGTTCTGGCTTTAGGTGCGGCTGCCGCAAACAACCTCTGCTAGCAGGGTCCACGGGTCTTACCTGGATAATTCCTAATTAGTATATGTAATAGGACTCCATGCTGTCCAATTAAGAAATAATTAGACAAGGAAAATTCTGAGGACTGACAAAATTGGATGAGGCTGTAGGCCGAGTCCAATTTGGCAGTCAGAGGAATTTTTCAAGTCTAATTATTTCTTGATTGGGGAGCATGAAATCCTATTACCTATTAATTATATAGCTGCCTAATTAATGCCTTATCAACAAGACCTGTCCAATTAAGAAAATAATTGGACAGTTACCTATATGGGATTAATGAGAAGCTTTATRATAAAGTATTCTTACCCTTCAAGCAGTTTATACTTTTCTGATAAACTTTCATTACTTTCACAGGAAGAAGGCTGTAAAAAAAGAAACAAATATCAATTAATCCGCTACAAGATACATAATTCTCATCCTACATGTAATGGAATAAGTTTCAGTCTTGATACTATTTGTCAAGACATTCGTGTGTGTAGGAGAAACTGATTTTTCTTTTCTTTATTTATTTTTTTTCTTTATTCTTTTTTTTTGAGAAGCGCAGAGTGGTAGCCGAAAATCCTGAGAAAAGAGGGAAGGCAGCTAAACCTTACTTAGCCCACCATGGCTATTGACAAAACCCTGACCTGGTTTTTGCCGACATCCCTCCACCCCTCTATATGTCCTGATAAATCAAACCCTCTGGCAAACAGATTCTTAGGAGTCTTGTTTTCGGGAAACATCGAAGTAGCTCCCATGTAAGTGTATTTGCGAGTCCTTGCGTACCTTATTTCTTATTTGAGATAACATTTCATCATGTGCCAACTGTTCTCTCTCCAGTGTTTCTTTCTCGGATGAAAGAGATTCTTTAGAGCTGAAAGAAAGAACAAAAACAAAAACTTTATCTTACTTACACTACCTAGCAGAAAACTGAACAGGTCAATAATTATAATAGATCCCTCGTACGAAAGAGTTGTTGAACTAAGAAGTCAATGTTTACCTGGCCAACGAAGAGCGTTGGTTTTCCATATCCTTCAGTTCTAAGAATACATAAAAATTCGTTAATAGATTTTTTAAAAAACTAGCGGTAAAAGTAGTATGATTTGTTTCAAATCAAAAAATCCTACATGACAGACTAACCTTCTTCTCTAGATTCTAGTTCTGATTTCTTCTCGTGTAGTGTTGCTTCCACTTTATCAAGGTCTTCATTTTCCTGCAAAAAAAAAAGAGGAAATCTTTTTCGTTTTGAAAATATGTGCTCCCTTTTAAGATAAATGAGAAAAGAAACGATAACAAAAAGAATGCTTCTCTTTCATATTTTCACTGGCCTCATTATTATTTTATCATACACACACACAACACCAACAACAACAACAAAAAAAAAGAAAAAGAACACAACACGATCAATACCGCCATCCCATATCATGATCAGTATGCTTCTTATAATCCCAACAGATCTCAAAAGACCCATAGAGATCTTTAATACATTTTTAAACATTATTCCAATTCTTGGTGTTTTGTATTCCGGGCGATCTCTACAAACTCTTGTTTGGACGCTGACAACCAGTCCTCATGGTCCCATAATCACTGGTCCCCAAACAATCGAAGAGCGCTAAACTCTATTTTCAATCGTAATTATTTACTAATTAATGATAATAAAGACAAGGGCTTGAACAACACGCCCAAAGTAGGGTTGGTAGGCTTAGGACAAACGACAATCCCAGGGCTGTAACTGACATGTTTTCACCTCAATAACCCGTACATCCCTTTAATTTACAGTGGAAACTCACCATCTCRCTCTTTTCAATACTTTTTCTGAGACTTTCCATTCCTTTTTCAATTTCATCATCAACTAGAATCGAAAAGTAGCAGTTTGTCTCAGTATATGCAATAA